AGCAGCCTGATGACGATCTAATCGAAAACAACAATATTGTTCGCTTATATCTGTGTGTTGTTCTAATTTTCACAATGGGAATCTTTAATGTTGTACGTTGTAACCGACTGACTAACTGACTAAATACAATAAAATCCCCCACAATAAATTACGTAATTCAATAATTATTATATTAATAAACTTTAACCAAAAAACAATAAAACAAATACAACCTTGTTTCTTGTCAATATATAACTTACAATTTTACTCAGACTCTTAATTTGATCTTCTTCTACAGGTGGATTACTATCATCATCGATCAATATAATTTCTTTCAAATTATTATTCCATAATAATGAGGATGTATTCACCAGTATACTTTTTATTGTATTTTCCAAAATCAACGCATTTTCATTATGTACAACAATTATAATACTTATTTCGGGGATATATTGATAAATATCTGAATAAAATGTTAATGTAACATTTAAACTATATGACAATGTGTTCAATGTGAAATGATCACATAATTCCGAATTGAATTGTTTTGTGCGCCAATCATGATGTCGGTGTTGTTGTTGTTCATTCAATGTGTTCAATACTACTATTGAACTAGTCAACAATCCATTCAAAGTTATAATAATAATGATGATAAGAATTTTATTAGAATAATTGAAATGAGGTGAAAACATTATTAAAATTAATTGCTTGTGTTGACTAAAAAATATACGAGAAATTAGTTACATTTATATGTATATATGTATATATATATACATAAATATGGATAGGATAAACATCTTTCCCCCCAATCAATCAGTCAATGAATCGGTCAGTCGATTAGTTAGTTATTGAAACTTCTCTTTTGATTATTATTATTATTTAGTTTTTAATTAAGTGGAAAGAAATGAAGAAATAATGATTACATCAGTTCACGATTGGTTTGATTAACAACAAATACAACTTCATGTGTTATCATCATCCACCCATCTAACCTGCACACAAACACACGCACACATATATTAATTATCAACAAGACATAGAACAAACAAACCAATAAAAAATATTCATGATCTTTCAATTTAATTTTATTTTTTTTTGAAAAAAGAATGATTAGTTTTTTGTGCACAAGGCGTGTGTGTGTGTAAATTGTATTTATTGGTGCGTACAGTAGATATATATTATTACTACTAAGATTGCAACAGTAACAAAGGTCAGTTGAATATATATATATATATATATATATATATATATATAATCTGAACTATGGAGATTGGTTGTATAATATATAACGTATGCGTGCGTGTGTGTGTGTGTGTGCTGTGAAGAAGTGTTGATTTGTTGTGCACACACACACAGAGAGAGAGAGAGAATAGGACATACACAAACTTAGAATATAACATAAAAACTTGATGGATGATGCCTTGTTTTTTTACGATAAGTTTTCTAAATTCATGATAAACGAGGCTGCTTATTTTATCCATACCGTCATTATCACATGTTCATTGCATTTATTCATATCAATTGTAATGTTTTTTTGGGAGGGGGCGGCTAATAAATAACGTCAGCGTTTGAATTCAATGTACAATAATAATAATAATATGGTTACATTTTCAATATTTGCTTTGAGATCATAAATTCATTCATTAAAACAATGTATGTTTTGAAATTAATGAATTATCTCATTCTAACATTGATCGATTCATGGTTTCAAAAAAAAATGTGTAACTTAACAATCTTCACAACAACCCCCGTAATGCAAATTACCTGTGCTCACTAGTGACTAGCATTGTGAGGAATCTTCTCCGAGTTCTAGTGGGAAGACGTGACCACTGTGAAGTTCAACCTGTTCGGGTGTAGACAGTAACTACTACCGTAGACTGTGTATGAGGTTGCGCAACTCCGTGAATTTGATCGAGTTAAACATTAACAACAGCGTTTGGTGCCGGCTCAGTGATCCTGGGTTCGGATCCAGCGGGGTGCAGGAGTCGTGGGTGCGCACTACTGAGGAGTCCCATACTAGGATGGAACGGCCGTCCAGTACATCCAGACTTCTAGTGGTGTTCTAACATTGATCGGTTCACGGTTTCAAAAATGTGTAAAATAGCGTATATTTTGAAATTAATAAATTATTTCACTTTAATGTCAAATAAAATTATTTCAGTTAAAAATTTTTTTAAAAAAAAGTTTATTTAGAAGTAAAATGTTGGCTTCAATGTTCATATGTGTATCAAGACTAATTGAGACAGTTAGTTAGTTAGTTAGTTGCAAGGTAGAACTTCGTGTGTAAGTACGCACATCAGTTCAACTTGTCATACTGTGGTGCGAGCTACTTATAAGTAGTATATGACGTGAGTGTCAACGTAACGTCTGGCAGCAGAAGATGGGGGAAGATCAAGAAAACTAAAGAGTTAGAACACAATGGAATTTGTATGAAACGCATGAATAGTAGTGATAATGGATTGATGTTTTGCAACAGGAACAGTCCAGTTCGATATGATGGACTGATATTTTGCAAATCAACGATTTACGATATGGTGTTCCGATTTTACTGAGTAACTCTGTCATTTTCGTTAAATACACTCCGGTTGCCCCACCTGCGTTCTCGTTCACTACAATACCACATTACTACACATACAGTTTGGATTATCAATTCAAATCTCATAGTAGTAGTAGTGGTAGTAGAAGTATTAGCAGTAATCAACAAAAGCAGTGATCGATGATATCATTCAAGAAGTATATCTCGATGGAATCAATATTTAAAACAAAGAGAGAGGCATAAAAAAAGGGTAGTGAGGAATTCAGAAGATTAAAATTTCATAGAACACAAAGAATGAATGCACCTGGACCATTACAAACGATTTTAAGCCATGTGGTTCATGGTCTCTAACCATTGGTGACTTTCGTCTCACAGACCACAACAAGGTGGATAGTCTGCATCTATCAACATGACTCAGTCCAGTTGTCAGTGACTTAATGGATTTGTGCCATGTTTTGATTTGGCCGCCCCTAGCTTTCTTCCGACCTACTCCTACGTTACAAAACATTGCTCATCGAGGCAGCCGGTGGTTGGGCATTAGTAATACCTGTCCCAACCACCTCAATTGGTGAATATTTTACCTTTACATTTTTACCTAGTACCCTCTTTCTAATCGAAACAAGGATATTTGAATTTCTGAATAAAAATGAAACATATTTTTCAGAGTTTAACCTAATCAGTTATTTGTGTCATTCACACTATTGTAATAGGGCCTAACGACAGAAATAGCCTCAACAACTGCAATGTGAAATATATATGAATATATTACTGAGAAATGTTATTGCATTGCGGGGTTGCCGTGAAGATTCTTAAGTTTTATTTGTAACCATGAATCGATCCATGTTAGACCACCATTAGAAACCTGGAAGCATTGGATGGCCGTTTCGTCCTGGTATGGGACTCCTCAGCAGTGCGCATCCACGACTCCAGCACCCGGAAGGATTCGAACCCAGGACGTTCGGCATTGTGCGCGAACGCCCTAACCGTTAGACCACTGAGCCGGTATCTGACGGTGTTACTGTCTAACTTGGTCAAATTCACGGAGTTGCGCAACCTCATACCCTGTATACATCCGAACAGGTTATTGTCGTTTTGTTTAACTACATAATTATCTTATGAATTCTTGATCATTATTTATTGTAAAAGTAATAACTGATTTTATTGTATAACACAGATTAGTTACATCCATTTGGTTTCATTTTGCCCTGGAAATCTTTTTTCAACAGATTAACAAATCGTGTTGTTGACAATGAATTTCCTAGAGGTATCCATTTTCACATTTGAATTATAAACCTATTGAACTAATTAAACCGAGAATTTCGTCTAGTTTATATGAAAGAAAGGTCGAACAAAAAATGGACTTGTTTCAGGAGAAATGCTGTTGTACTCCACATTAGCACAGAGACGATATTGTCAGTTCAAATCCAATAGTGGTAGAGAGAGTAGAAGTATTAGCAGTAATGGAGAGGATTGGGGTTTGAAGATATGATTCGAGAAGTATAATTCAGTGAGATAAGGTTAGAAAGAGAGAGATAGAGATAATGAGGAATTCAGAAGGTTAGATTTTGAGTAAATACAATGACTGGATGCACTTGCACCATTGCAAACGATTCTGAGCCATATCATTCAAGGTCTCTAACTGTTGATAACTTACGTCCCGCGAACCCCAACCAGGTAGCCTACAACTACCGACATAACTCAGTCCACTTGTCAGTGATTTCATGAATTTGTGCCACGTTTTGGTTTGGCCGCCCCTAACTTTCCTCCAACCTACTCCTACACCAAAAGGAGTTGCACTGATGTTGTACAAAGAAGTACAAGAAGAAACTGTTCCACATCATATAAGTAGTATTAATGCTAGGAAATATGAAATCTTGTGTAACACAGAGGTAGCGTTTTTTCTTGACCACTCTCGGATACCTCAAGAAACTTTCACTATTAATAACTTACTGTAAAAAAGCTTATCTGAAATGATTTCTTCAAATGAAGACTGGTTTTTTTTACGATAAATGGCTTTATACATTCAAAAAGGTCATTTTCAATATTCAATAACTAGAAGTCAGTGAATTTTGCACACACATTTAATTCCCATAATTTACATCGTTTGTAGCTAACGTAATAGACTGTCTCCAGCTAAATAATAACTGCAGACCAGGAAATACTGGGGAGTCGTTTTCACTTCCTGGTGATAAAGACTTGTGATGTTCCCAAAGATTGAACCCATATGATGCAAAATACGAATTGTCTTGAGAAACCTTTCATTACAGTCATATTTGTTATTTATTTTGTTTTGCTACTTATAACTAATAAGTAGTATGTCTACAAACCGAAAATTTGACCGAAATTTACCAGGGTTGCAGTATTTGGTTCTTTTTAATATCGTTGGTCTTTTTTATATACATAGAAAATCTAAATCTTTTTATACAGAAGAAAGTAGCTTTTATTATCCCATGACTATAATTGAATAAATCGATGAAAACTTCGAAGAATGAAAATTTGTTCTGTAGTTATTCTCTTGAGAATTCGATGTTGTCGAAAATGTTGATTATCAATTTTAGATTTCACATCATTTTGACAGAAAAAGTGCGAGAAACTTACTATGGATGGACGATTTAAAACAATAATATACAGACAGTTAAATCTGAAAAATTATTCATAACAGCTGAGACTTACTGAATCATTACTGCAGCATAAAAAAAAGTTAAAGAAACTAGCTTTCTTTGTCTATTTTAAGAATGTATAACCTAAAAACGTCATCCAACATTCAGTGGCGAATTCGTATGTTATCAAAAAACTCAACCCCGGTGATAGAAACAGATCTTTTAACCATATGTGAAGAAATCGTTTGGAATAGCATGGGTGCATCCACTCTTTCTGTTCTCACAAATTCTAGTCTTCTCAATTACTCATCACCTCTATCTTTCACTTTCTAAAGTTATCTCACTGCATTTTACTTCTTGAATAATGTCTTCGAACCATAATCTTCTCCATTACCGTTAATAATTTTACTAAGTATACCACTATCGGATCTGAGCTGACAATTGTGTCTCTGTGCTAATGTGGTATGGCCACCTGAAGTGATGTACGTACGTACGTACGAAGTTCTACGTTGTAAATGACTGACTGATATCTTAGCTTATTTTGGCACTTCGACTTAGTGTCATCAAAACAACTCAAGGTCAAACCATAACTAACTTGAAAGATGCAAAACACATAAAAAATAAATAAGACGTTGACACTTTGGAGTACTGTCACTA